TTTAACATTATAGCTTCTCTATGTGGTCAACGACAACAAACTAGGGACTCATTACGTAGTGTGATTTTTGTACAATTTCATCTGCGCGAGAAAATAAAGTGTGTTGTGCCCAAAAAGTTGTGAGAAGAACAAAGTTAAATTTTTTATCCAGCGATCATATTCCCGGAATTACTCTAAATGAAATCATTTATCCAAGGTCAGCAAATTGTTGTGTAATTTTGCTTCTATGACAAACCAAAGACTTATTAATAGCTGTGAATATAATTTACTGTCAGACGGACAGCTAGGTTGAAGGAGTATTCCCGTAGCCAGTTCGAATATTATTAACACTACCAGCGGTCCGTTACGTATGTAGATTTGCTGTTTAACCCTCAACAGAACACCTTCCCGGACTGATTAATCTGTACACCTGGGGTCCGCGCGGACCCCAGAACAGTTTTTTGCTAATTTTTAGAAATTGTCAACATGCTACCAGCTCAATTGTTTTGCAAACTGATGTGGGAACCTCTGTGTCCACATTACATACAAAAATCATACATTTTGAACTTTTTCTATTTTTTGGTGAAGAAAAGAAGACAAGAAGAAATACCCGATTTTTAAACCCATTTCAGACTGAAGGGGCTTTTGAGGCCCAACTTTGATCTCAGATAGCGGCTAAACGGCTTGCGCTAGAAGTATCAAATTTGGAGACCTTTTCTAAAATGTCTCTGAAAAAAAGTTCATATTAGTTTAATACTAGTAAATTGATGTTTTTTTGTGTTGCCATGGCAACGGGTTTCTAGCAGGCAGTTTTTTTGGAAAATAAAGTAATTTTGGTTTAAACATAAAAATTTTCTGAGTTTTATATTAAATTACACTTCTTTTCCAACATTAATAACATCTTACATAATTAAATATAAGTTAAATCATTTAATATGCATAGAATATGCTAATTTGATGACGTCATTGGTCAAAATCCAATATGGCGGACTATATTATTAGCTCTGACGTCACATGACGTCATAATTACACCAAAGTTATCAAAATTTAATTCTATTACTACACCATTCTCTGAAAACTTGGTAGACATACGATGAGTGCATAAAAACATATAAAAACGGAAATAAGGTAATGTATAAGAACCCCAGTGTACCCATTATGATCGAAAGCCGGCTGGGGTCCGCGCGGACCCCAAAAGAAAATCAGATATAATTTTTTTTATAAATGGTAGAAACGGAGTTTTCTGCACTGTATTGAGAGACAACTTTGTGGGTGACAATTACCTAAAATTTCAGAAAAAAATCTTTAGAAACAAAAAAGATATTACAGAATATATAGTGCTGGGGTCCGCGCGGACCCCAGGTGTACTGTTTAGGGTTAAAACTCTCTACCTCTACCTACTCTCTATCGTTTATAAAGTTACCCGGCGATCAGGCGTGGTTTTAGCGTTACAAATCCTCATAAAGCAACCTGCTGGCGGATATCGCTCTGCCCGCTTCAGCGCGATTATCTGGTCTAATCTGTCCTTGTGGGCAGGTTTTAATTCTACCTGTGCTTAATTCTGCAGGTAAAACCGTCTGTGGGCTCAGGAACGGTTCGGACGGAGTTTTGACTTTTAAAAATCATGGCGATACCAGAAGAGTTCTAGTTATAACTGTGAAAACTCCATCACCGATAAACTGTGGTTTTCACATCCTGATGACTCTATCTAGTCAGTTGTGAAGTTTTTTAATTGTTTAAACCCATCACGGACCGCCTGTTCCATTTAACATATAAGTTAGCGGCGGTCTGAAATCTTTGTGTGAACTTGGGCTTGGTGTCTTTGATAACTGTATACTTCATGGGTCAGTTTTCCATCTGTCTTATTGTTTTAACTTGACGGATGTTTGGAATAATCAGCTGTAGGAGATTAGGTATCACTAATTACGCCTGGCCTGTCCACGGTGCGTTATCTGTGGGTCGGGTGTAGAGCGGTACAAGTTTGTAAACTCACCCGTGTTGGTTTTAAATCGCTCTATCTGTAAATGCCTTTAAGCGTGGATTGTGATGTTACAGTAGTCTGTTGTTGAAGCTCCTTGGTCTGACGGATTGCAGGTTTATCTTCCCGCTATCATGTCAGTTTTAACGTTATAAACTAGGCTTAGGTACAGATGTACATGTTCAAGTGTTTCAAGTCTTCTCCCGTCTGTAGAAGTTCGACAGATTAGTTATCAGCGTCCTATCATGTCTGTTTAAAACTTACAAACTTGGGTTAGGTACATGTTTAAGTGTTTCTGACTCTGTAGCTGTAGTAGTTTGGTCTGACAGATTACAAGTTTATCTCCCGCTATCATGTCTGTTTAAAACTTGGGTTAGCTACATGTTCATGTCTATTAGTGTTATAAACTAGTGTTAGGTACATGTTTTAACTGTTCGTGTGTTTCTGACTCCCGTCTGTTTCAGTAGTCTGTTGTTGAAGCTCCTTGGTCTGACATATTGCAGTTTATCTCCCCGCTATCATGTCTGTACTGTTTTAAACTTACAAAGTTGGGTTAGCTATAGGTACATGTTTAACTGTTCAGGAGTCCCGTTTCTACCGTCTGTACCAGCCTGACAGATTACCGGTTATCTCCCCGCTATCATGTCTCGCGGCTCCGCCCGCCCCCCGCGCCAGACAAAACCGGCCCAGCGGGGGTAAAGTCAACACGGCCCCGGGAGGTGTCACTGCAAGCCCCGCTGGTAAGAACCAACCCACCCGCTAGGCTAACCCGCCAGCCCGCTGGTAAAAACCAACCCTCCCGCTGGGCGCTCACCGCGGGAGCATCACAACACTAGCCTCTACCAGGCTTCGGGATCTACCAGGCTTCGGGAGGCGGCTGGGAAGAGTGGAAATCGGCCAAATAGAGAGATAACATGACGGGGGAGTTGGTCTGCTGGAGAGAACATTTTTGCAAACTAGTTGTAAGGGCCAGCCAAACTCCCCTCCCCTTTAGACCGGTGGGCGAAGGGCTTCTTGCTGCCGAAGGGAAAGGTTTAGCGGCCCGATACTAGTCTGGCATCCAGGGTGATCACCACACGGCCCGGGGAAGTGTCACACCGGCCGCCCGCTGGGCTAACCCGCCCGCCCGCTGAGTTCTCACCGCGGGAGCCATACTCAGTCATTAGGCGGCAAAAAGCCGCTCGTTTAGCGCTGAATGGAGACTTTATCTCGGACCCGCCCAGCGGCCAACATGCGCGCGTGCCGGGAGGGGAGGGGAGGCTATAAAACCGTGCAGTTTTTATAAGAACGGTGGCAAATCTATTAACCTGTTAACGCTGGGTTCAGCTTTTACAAGAACACACGATCAGCGGCTAGCCTTTACAAGAACATACAAGCGCCGGTGGCGAGTCGTAGAGCTGAGAGATGAGGCGAGGAGGCTATAAAAACCGCACAGTTTTTACAAGAACACGCGATCAGGGGGTAGTCTTTATGAACACTGGATACAGTTTTTATAAGAACGGTGGCAAGTCTATTAAAACTTGGTCCATGCAGTCTTTACAAGAACGAAGTATCAGCGGCTTGTTCTTACAAGAACACACTAGCAGTGGCGAATCGGATAGCCGAGAGGTGAGGGAAGGAGGCTATAAAAACGGGGTCCAGTTTTTACAAGACCACATTATCAGCGGCTATCTTATTAATCGGTAGGACCAGTTTCACACTATCTAAAAGCTGCTTTAGAAGACTAACGCTGGGTCTAGTTCCTGTTCGAAGCCAATAAACGTTGAATTCAGGTTAAGACTAGGTCCAGTTTCTGTAAGAACGCCCTTTAGTTTCTCGTAGAAGGCTATAGAAGGCTAGATCCAGTTTAGAACAAACTATCTAAAACCGATATAAAACCTTTTCGAGGACGAGGGGTCTAGTTCCAGTTCGAAGCCTATAAACACTGAGTCCATTTTAGACTATCGGTGGCGAGTCGCACAGTTCATATCTGCTGTTAGAAGGCTATAAATATGTTGGGCCCAGTTTGTATGAAAAGTATAAGATATAAGAACACGGTATTTAAAAGTCGTCGTGTCGCACAGCTCGCATATAACCGGTAAAACAGACGGTTCCCCGCATTACCATAGGCTCCTGCCGTCTCAACCCCCTCCCGGTCCAGACAGTGGAAATGGAGGCACGTTTTAATGCGTGTAACAAAAACAAATAAACAAGCCGGTCTCAAGCGCGGATCAGGTAATGTGTCCGACCATCTGTGGCGGGCGCAAGTGGCCAAATCGACAGTTTACTTTGTAGATAGTTTTTATGTCAAGAAAACTTGGTTTGTGTAATATCAACTGGCCAACACAGTCTTCCAAAGTTTGGCCACAGATTTTGTTCTATGGAAAAATTATAATTAGTTATCACTCAAGATTTTTGTCTTGAGTGCTTTGCAGAAAACCGTGTTTGTGCAAAGATTTCTGTGGCATTATAACAGGATAACAAGGTTCGTAATGGATCCCCAAACATACAACATTCCTATAGTATAGAACAGGAGTGGTACATTACATGTATGTTTGTAGTCTTCCTGTCGCGTATGTGGCTTTAGGTATTAGTGAAGGACCACAGGAAGAATAGAAAACTGTGTAAACTGAAGCTAATTGTGAACCCAATTTTAGATAGTCCTCAAGTTCTTAAGTTACGGTACAATGACTTAACATCATTGTACATTATTGGTATAATAATTAAGTTACGGTGACTAGTACATCTTGTATAATGTCTTTGCTAATACGTACCATATCTATACGTTACGGTACGATATCTATAACATGATAAGTAACTAGTACGTATGATAATTAAGTTACAGTATAATAACTAGAACTCGTACCTAAGCTGGACCGCCTTGCCAGCGTGGGTATAATAGTTACGGTATATATATAATAACAAGAACCTACCTGAGCTAGATCTCCTGGCCAGTGTGGGCCCGCCGATGGCCCTGGGGTGGAGACAGCTCAGGTAGGTTCTAGTTATCATACCGTAACTATAATAATGGTACTAGTACATGTAATAAGTGCGTGTTTCCTACCTGAGCTAGATCTCCTGGCCAGTGTGGGCCCGCCGATGGCCCGTGGGTGGAAGCCGACGTTGTCAAACGTGGACCAGCTGGCCATGTCGGGGCTGACGTAGGCCGTGTAGGGGCTGAGGCCGTTGGTCCGGGCGGCCAGAGGCGGGTAGGAGTCCCGGGTCCCGGCGGCGTTCAGCGGCGGGGACGGCGGGAACGAGAAGCGCGGCGACACGGACGGGTGCGCCGAGGAGGTAGGCTGCGGGAAGCCGGCGGCGGAGTCGCCCGGCTGGCACCACACGGCGTGGCCGTTGGTCTGCTGCGGGGTGACTTGTTGCGAAGCGCCGCTGCCCTGCTGGATGTACGGCATGGATAGCATGGAGTGGACCCGCGTGGTGGGAACGTACACCGGGCTGCGGCCCTCCAACGGGAACCCGCCCGGCGACTCGTGGTAGGTGGGCGGCGAGCCTGCGGTGTGGTGCATGGCGGCGACGGAGTGGTTCTGATACATGTCTGCTCCTGAGCTGGCTGCGTCCAGGCTATAGTTCTGCTGCAGTTGTGCCGAGTACGGGGAGTCCGTACCGTAGCTTTGCGCGGAGCTGGGCGGGTCCGGCGCGTCCTGGCCCCGCTGGGCCGTGTGGATCGTCACGCTGATGCCGTGCGAGCTCGTCACCGCGCCCGGCCGGTCCAAGTGCCGGAAAAACTTCTCTACGTCCTCGGTGGGCAGGAGCTGGTTCGGGTCGGCCGGGGTGAGACTGTTGGGCCGGCCGGTGGGCATGGGCTTGGGTTCGGCGGGCGGGGCGCCGCAGAGCGAGCTGTGAGCTCCCCGGTACGCTGAGGTCCAGAGGGGATCGCGAGGTTCCATTCACTGGGCCATCCACGCCGCAGTCCCTGGCTGGAGACTGGTGGCGGGGTGGGGAAGGTTTCACAACCTGGGGGCGGCAACAGAGAACAGACGTTAGGACAACGTACTACTCACAAACTAACCCTAACTCTAACACACGCCAGCGCACAGGAACATACTAACTTACCGCACAGAAACGCACTAACTTACAAACTAACCCTAACCCGGGAGGTTGGGGAAGGCTTGACAACCTGGGGACAACAGAGAACAGACGTCAGGGCACAGGAACGTACTAACTAACTAACTAACTAACTAACTAACCCTAACACACGTTAGTGAACAGAAACGGACTAACTTAGAAACTAACCCTAACCACGCCTGAAGGCTAGGAGGCCTGGGGACGGCAGAGAACAGACGTTAGGACAAAGGAACGCACTAACTAACGAACTAACCCAGCACAGGAACGCACTAACTTACGAACTAGCCCTAAGACTAACACACGTTAGCGCACAGGAACGTACTAACTTACAAACTAACCCTAACTAACGAGACATAACACACGTTAGGCCGCAGTAACATACTAACATACTAACTAAACTTTTAAAGTCACACAGGTTGGTGGGTGTGAGGCATTGGAACTGAGAACGGCAGAAAATTACATATTGGGGAAAACCGACGTACTAACTAACTTACAACGCGAGGGGGGAGGGGCTGCAAGATTGGGAACCAAGAGAGAACATGTGTTACTGTTAGGGCACGGCAACGTAACAATTAACAGCCATACTAGTTATAACAGGTTTATTACTTTGTTGTTTTACTGTATTGTGTTGTTATGTTTGTGTTCTAAAGAGAGGGATTTTCATAATCCACTTTCGGAGAATCCGTAAACAAATGAGAACAAGATGGAAAATAAAATAAACACTAGCGTATTAGGAATCCATACACAAACTTATGAACACTTATCTATAACATATACATATAATATACATATAACACACGTAACATACGTATACATATAACACGCTTATACACCACACATTAGCTTCTACATGCACTTACATATAACAGTCGTATACATGTGTGTACACCAAGTATTACTCTTCCAAAGGCACGCGCGTAACGCACTTATGCATGGCGTACTAGCCTTCTACGAGCACTTATCATGTATATGAAACACTTATGATATATGACCGTACATATCAGAACACTGAAGACATAATTTTTATGAACTGTAAAATCTCCCAGTGCCCTGATAATACGTGGTGTATCATGATAGAAGGCTAGTACAGTTGAGTACGTGGTGTATAACTATAAGCGATCTAAACCGATCAGAGTAAAGACAGCGTAAAACACGTTATCGTTGAAGAGGTTCATCAATACGCCACCGTACATATCAGAACACTGAAGATATTATGAACTGTAAAATCTCACAGTGCCCTGATAATACGTGGTGTATCATAAGTGACATATGTATAAACTTGTACCCATAGAAGGCTAGTACATGTATAAGTGATCTAAACCGATCAGACTAAAGTCAACGTATAACATTCTAGTACTTCTACACACAATCTTCGCGCTGAAAAGTTTTTACTCCAGTTTTCTTGCAGCTTCCTTCCCCTGCACTACGCAGTTATCTAGTGTGCAGGACAGATAATAACACAGATGGGTAGCTGTAGCACATCGCGCGTAATGAGTTATCAACAAAGGTATCCAAAACATCAAACAGTTGGGCACAGCAACATGCAACACATTCCGTAACGCAGCGGACACGCGGCAGAGTCTGTGGTTTCTTACATTCTTACACAGAACAAAGACTTTATCTCCTCGTACCTTTATAAGTAAACCGTGTTCTACATTTGGGCCCTCTGACTGATTAACTTATAACCATCTGAAGACATGCTGTGAGTTGTTAAAACGTCACAATTAGGCATGTTCCAAGGCGCTGAATCTGTGGTTTCTTACTCAGAAAAAAGACTTTATCTCCTCGTACCTTTATAAGCATACCGTGCTCTACATTTGGACCATCTAATTAATACGTGGCAAACTTAATACCCGTCGGAAGACATGTTATGAGTTGTTATAATGTACAATTACTGAATTAGTCATGTTCCAAAGTTTACAGCGTTAGGAAGGGTGAAGACATGTTGTGCTTGGTTATAATGTTATAACTTATAACATGTGAGCTAGGCTTGTTCCTATCTATAGCGGAGGGCATGTTGTACGTTATGTGATAACTAGACGTTCGTAGGTTTAGATGTTGTACGTTGTTTAGTATAACTTGAGGACCAGTCGTGTTGCTAGGTCTGTAGCGCGAATGGGAAGACATGTTACACGTTGTTATAACTTGAGAAGACATGTAGTACGTTCCTATAACATGAGAGCTGGGCTGGGAGCTAGTCGCGTTTCTAGGTTTAACATGTTGTGTACGTTGTTATAACTTGAGAAGACATGAAGTACATTGTTAGAACATGGGAACTAGGCTAAGTGTTAGCTAGACGTTCCTAGATGTTAGAACATGAGAACTGGGCTATGATATTAAGAGCTAGGCTTTCCTAGTTTTAAGATGTACGCTGTTATAACACAAGAGGTCATAAGAACTAGGCTGCAAGGCGTTCCTAGTTGTACGAACGTTAACATGAGAACTGGTTTAAGATGTGGCGTTCCTAGTTTAAGATGTATGCTGTTAGAACATATAAGAACTAGGCCTGGGATCTAGTTCTAGTCGTTATAACATGAGAACAAGGCTGCCAGGCGTTCCTTGCTGTTACAGAGAACTAGGCTAAGAGCTAGTCGTTCCTAGTTTTTAAGATGTACGTTGTTATAACATTATATAAGAACTATGCTAAGATCTAGCTAGGCGTTCCGAGTATATAGTCGTTCTGAGAAGTAGGCTGCTAGTCGTTCCTAGTTTTAATATGTACGTTGTTATAATACCCTGAGAACTAGACAGACCTAGGCGTTCCTAGTTCTGTAGCGGGAGGAAGTGTCACAAACTGCGACTGACCAGGCCACGCCTGTCGCCAGGCCTAATAGCTGATGTTATCAGCCAGACGGTCCCGGGAAATACATTTTACCGGGCCGGGGTTCAGCCGTGGGCGGGCGGAGAGGCGGAGTCGCGCCCGAGGAACCTGCAGACCGCCCCGGCAGCCCGGCTACCGTCTCGGCACGGCGTTACCTGAAAACATATTTGTCCACCTTATCCTAACCTGGCGTGTAAATCACCTGCGATCCGCGCCTAACAATGGCAACAATGGGCAGAACATGCTGCTACAATATAACAATACCGATTACCCAAGTGCTCACAATCCAGGCTGGAACCACAGAAGCCGGGCGCACAAAGTTTCTCCAAGACGCCTTAAAAACTAACCAAGAAAACTAATAAGAACATCAGCACGTTTAAGACTTGTTAGAGAAGAAGAATTAAAGAGTAAGAAGTGTTACAGCCACTCAGCGGGGGCTCCGTGAAACAATAGCGGCCTGAGAGGTGCCCCTGAGTAAAGGCATGTGCTCACAGTTACATATTGTTTGTCTTTCTCCAGTTAAACGTAACTCATAAAGGTTTGGGCAGGAGTCGGGTGGAATTTTCTGGTCACGGATCGGTTTGAAAAGTGCGCTGCTTCCTGGCTGATCAGTTCGCGTGGTGCGACCAAAACACTAGTTTTGATAATAGTGTGGATACGAGATAAGGAAGTTGTGTCGGCAAAGTGTACGGTTCAGTAATAACAACATGCCTGGAGTGGAGACCACGAGGTCCGGAGTGCTGGCTGGGGTTTCCGCTTGGTGCTGCCGACGGGCGGCCTCGCTAGTCTCTCTCCCAGGAAACTCCGCTAAACTCCGCCCGAAGAAACTTGTCTGGTGCCTCCGTGGCCCGTCTCGATTCTACTCCGCACTGCCACAGCCGCGAAACTCGGACTAGCCCAGCACGCTCAGGACTTATTGCGTCGTTTCAAGGCGCCACGTAATTTATTAATATCCATCGACATATTTGTCGAGCGGCCTGGTCACGTGACCCGGGGGCATTGTGCAGGCCGAAAGCGTGGCGCCAGTTCGGAGCCGAGCCGCGCCCTGATTGGTTAATTCCCGGGTAAAGTGGGCTGTGATTGG